ACACCAGATTTGTCCCTCGGCAGTAGTCAGGACCTTCATCTTTGCGTAACCTGTATTCCTTCAGCTGCGCTCGCTTGCACTTGTTGACACCAACACTTCGTGAAAGGGATATCTCAAAAATCACCTATCACAAAAAGTTTTTATAAAGCAGAACGCATTATCTCAATCGTGACATAACGTTAAAATGACAACTTCAATCTAGCTCGACTGGATGCTTACGTAGTAGGACACTTGTTCTTCTCGTCGCTTCCTGACTTCCGCTCAAGCTCCTTCTCTCTAAGTTCCACTGCATGTAACAGGCAGGGTAAAAATCGTGTCGAGACGTGTCGTAGAAGTGCGACTTGCTCTCTCGCTCCCCCCCCCCCGAAATCAGGTCTGGAAATTACGCCCCTTCCCCCACCCTCGCCGAAAAAACAAAGCAGTCATAGCGCAAAGACCCACAACAGCCTAGTGAATCGAGTCACGCCGATTCGCCGGCAGCTGCTTGATTTGTCCTGGGTACAGATTGCAGAATCGCGGTGAGCTGTCGAAATCTATAACGCCTCGAATAATGTTCCATCCTTCATTTCCCAACCTTTTGAAAAGAACGCGGTGGGGTCAGATAGAGCTAGAATTTGATACTATCAAGCAATATTGGCATTGCCATGAAAGGCTTCCATCCGAAGAGATAAAAGTTTCTCAAACCCGTCGAGGGAGCGTCGAGGATGCTGAAATTTTCATGCTAGTTTTTGCCACTTTAAAATAGGCAATAACTCTCTAAATTGCAAGACCTCCGGAACGAAGAACAGTTTTGAGGTTTGTCTTGGGGCCATGCATCCGATCTTCCCTCGAAGTTGCAGAATCGATTGAAGAGGTGTTATATGATCGTGACCAGTTCACAGAAGCTGCAATGTAATGAACACATATCGTAACTACTATAACCTAAGGAACAGCTTCATTTGCACAGGGTCCTTTCCTTCACGGTTGTCGTTTTGCGACAGCGTCCCTAACAACAGTGTCATTCTCAGCGAGGTATTAAGGGAGGAGCGGGCGGTAGATAGAAGAGGTGCCTTTGCAGCGTGTGTGCACATATGGCCCCGTTCCTTGCGGAGATGCATTTTCATTCTTTATACTGCTTTCAAATACGTCCTTATCATTGGAGCGACTGAAACTGCAACGAATATTTTATATGATTTTTTTTCACATATCCTTGTTTTCTGCTGCGCTACACCCTCTTACTCCTATCTGCACCACGATGCCAACTGATGTTACTGACCCCCACGAGTACGACTCCCCATGACCCAGTCTGACAAGTACGACCCCTGTCGAGGATTTCCTCGACCGATATTCACCCTTACCGTGGTCGCCAATTGGAAGTGATCCGAAGACTGTGCCAGCTTCGGTGTTTTTACTAGCCGTGGGGTATGACACAATCACGCCACTGTACAAAATCATATCGGCAAGGCCTTGCGAATCTCACCAGTTTTTGTTGCGAGTGTAACCCTTATGTTATTCCCTGGTACTTCCATTTGCAGGCCATAACATATGCACAGACGCACATTACTACTCTGCCTAACGTGAAGATGGCGTTGAGTTTCCGCTACTACGGGATCTATTTGTTTGATTTGAGATGGAAAAATAAACGTTAAACGCAGGTCTTGAAGTATTCTTCAATTTCTCTCTTCTTGTAACCTCGACATCACTTGTTCTTGCTTGCGTTACGGTTTCATGTGCTATACGAGGTTGACAAAAGGAACATTTATAAGATCGACCTAACGTCTCGACAAAATCGTCCTCAGTGGTTTGTGGCTCATGGTTGACATAACACATTCTACTCCACCAAGCGCTCTATCCCCTCTAGCGGTTTCGGGTGTTGCGTCAGAAGGTCCACAGAGAAACATATTCAAGAGTGATATTAAACTCAACACAGGACTCCACCCTTTCCGCGCGTATTCCGCAAACACACGCTAATAATGGTGCTCATTAATCGAAACCAGAGCACAGGACGCCCCAGCCCCTTTTGGGGGTTTTTTCAAACAGTCTCTAATGATAGGCAGTGTGTGTCAAACGTGGTCCTATTTGCAAATATTGGTAAGAGATTGTGCATATAGCGGAGTGATTTATCAAATTGTGTGCCAAGCTTGTGACACAATCTATATTCGGAAAATCAGAAGCGTTTTAGCCATTCACATCAAAGAACACCTGGCTATTATGAGATGCGGTACTCCTTTAACAGCTTTTGGGAGGCACAAAATGGAGAAGCACAACGGCATAGAATTCGAAATATGGGTTGGAGCATAATATCGTAGCGCTTGCATTTTCATTTCTTCACACAAACATTTGAAGCAAAAAATAAAAACATAAAACTAATCAGTGATGTTCACTTCGTCATTATTTACAACTTTGATTGCATTTCGCAGGAGATCACCGGATATAAAATTTAAAAAATATTAAGCTTGTTTTCGAAGTCCTTATTATTCTCAATTTGTACGAAATGAATATTATTTTAATTTGAGCGAAAAAGGTAGGGTCGCTAGAGCTAGGTCGATCAAAACAATGGATTTAAAAGAACTTCCAATTTGGGGTTTTTTCCTTCTTTATTTGAAACCGAGGAATCGCAGCTGTCGAAACGCCGATTTTCGCCTTCTGCATTTTCCACCTTCTAAGCTCTATATTCCGAGAACAGGTACAATATTGAGTAAAACGGCAACCTGTATTTTGTAGAGCGGAAAGAGTACATTCAAATAGTACAGGGCGTTTTTCGAGAGTACTTGTACAGTTTGAATTTAATACGTTGGAAAAAAACGCTAACGATATTTATGCTCCAACCCAACGAAGTTATACGACATGAGACGGAAATTGTTGCTAGAAAGCTTATAGAAGCATTCTGGATTTCCGCAAGAATCCAGCGATGAAAAACCGAGATGAGCGCCCTTCGAATGACAAGTGATCTTTCGCCGTTTATACCAGCACTGCGAGCTGTAGAATTAAGTCTACGTGCGCCTCCAAGTGCTTCTCATATTTATGCTAAATATATCAGGAGACAGTACAGTACATTTTTCTTAATGATGATTTTTTCGAAACGTTCCCGATCTGAACACACACCCCCATATTCTCGATGGCACCACACAAATAAGTAAAAAGTAGGATATGCCAATGAGAGGCAGACAACCAATGAGTAACCCGCCCAAGAAGCCGCGCGATTTTTTTGGATCTTCAGCAGCCTTTGACGCTTTTTTACAACTGATGAACCAGTTATCGCAACCACATATGTGCTTTCATTTCGGTCGCATTCACTCAAGCATATCCTGTCGCAGAATTCTCCTTCAGTTAACTAAAAACTTAAGCAAACATTCCCGTCAAGGTTTCACTTCGACACTAGTGGTATGAAACGATGCCTGCAAAATCCCCTCTCACGCCGAATTGATAACCGTCACGCCCACTTCGAAGCTGTTCTGCTCTTTTTCTAACGGCTTTCCAAGGTGAGTATTTTGTTTAGTCACACTTTCTATGTTCTTGGCCAGGCTAAGCGCCATCGTTCCATACCATTAGTGTCGAAGGCAAAAACCCTGCTGGGACTGTTAGCTTTAATATCAACCCCCGCCGTCCACTTTTCCTTTTCACCAATACTTCATTTTATTCATGTACACACTTTGTTCTTCAAAATAGTATAATGTTACCGGCTGTCAAGCTCCAGATACCAAAATAATGCTTATAAGTCCAATCCGATGTGAGAACTCCCGATGGATCTTTATAATATTAGGTTGTCTCATAAATAGTGTCGCTTTTTCAAAAAAAGTTTTCTACTAAATCCTTAAGCTTTTACACCATGTCATATACCATTCGAAAGAGAATTGTCTGCTCTACAAGATGTATGTTCCACTTCCACCTCTGTTCCAGGTTTTCAAATTTTAGGCCTGCGAAATGGGAGGTCCAGCCGACAAAAATTGACCAAACCGACAACTAGCTCTAACTTTATTTTCCCTGGGGAGAAATCAATCAATGATGTACCCTCTACTTACTCATGACCTCTTCTAAACATTCCACCCTTAGGTTGCCGAAAAAGCTTTGCCGTTTTCTTTTAAATTGGCTGACCGATAAGCCATACCAATTTTCAATTTGAAATTGTTCCTCGTGAACGCCGTTGTTTCATATCGAATGGTGTTCCTTTTGTGAGCAACTTCTTCTGCTCTATTCGCTCAATTGATTTGTTTTTATGTTTGTTGGGAATTAGTTCGAATTTTAGGTGTTTAGGAATAAGGTGTTTTATCCACGAAAGTGACCGCATTTCTTTGAAAAAATTATCCCTGAGAAGATGAGAAAATCAACCAGGCGTACATTCCTAACTTAGTCATGACTTGTTCTTCAAATTCTACTAGTTTTTCAATGTCTCGGCTGTAAAAAAATTTCGACCTAGATCTCAGGTAATGGTGCTCGACCGTCGAGTTCTGGTTGAAAAACCAGGTCTGGAAATGGAACGACGCGACTTGTTGGAAAACCTAATAGTGTAATGTTCAGAAGAGGTCATGTATAAGTAGAGGGTACATCATTGATTGATTTCTCCCAAGGGAAGATAAGTTAGAGATAGTTACAGGCCTAAAATTTGAAAACCCTGGAGCAGAGGTGGAAGACAAACATAGCTTCTTAGAGCAGACAATTCTCTTTCGAATGGTATATAACACGATGTAAAAGCATGGGATTTTAGATTAAAATTTTTTGGTTGAAAAAAAGCGACACTATTTATGAGACAACCTAATACTGGCGAGATTTAGGCAGATAACTTCGTGAACAGCCGATGTTGTACTGATATTTCAGGACTGTGAGAATGGCAGGTGATTATTAATGCAAAGCTAGGTCACCGTATTTCATGAACTTTTGTTTTTGTGGTACTATCTGCATAATCACGAAACATGAATTCGAATTGTTCATTGTAAATTCCGATTAAACACGAACTCGGATAGGTGTGCTGCGTGAGATGCGATTGGATTGATCTGATCGATTAGATTGAGATGATAAGTCTATTTGAGCAATTGTTCCACGGCGTACAGTATAATGAACGTGGCTCGAGAAGCAGTCACAGTTGCGCAGCATGAGTTCCGCTCGACCCGATGTCGTGAGCAGAACAACTCGCCACTACGTTCCCATGGAGTCGCAAACTGGAATAACACCACATGACTGAAGCATGTCATAGTTCGGGAGCCCCTGAACATTGCACTTGACCGACCTCTTCAGGAAGATGTTTGCCGAGGGCAGAGAGCCAACTTCCAGCTTCACTCATCGCCTCCCCTTGCAGGCAATCCGCTAAACCAGCCAAGAATGCATCCGCAAGTACATATCGCTGTTCGGTACAAGGGAACCCTAAAACTACCCCATAAAGAACTCAATTACAAGTGTATAGCATACATTATACGAATAATCCAAGCCTAAAGAGCGTGCTAGATGCTGGGTAGCCGCGAGCATATTGCGGTATTCCTGCTTCAGACAGATGACCCATCGACGACCGTCCTCGTCAGCCAGTAGGTAGGGATCTGAAAATGTGAAAAATGCCTTGGAGAATTTCCTTTCTCTTTCGTTCTCATTCTATTCGCGTACAAATATGTGTTGTAACATCCACGCACTCATGACAAAATACTCCTGATGAAGTGCTGATATGAGTGGAGCTGTAGATGCCGAGCTGACCAAAATGAGAAAAAAAAACAAAGAAAACTGTCGGTAAGGCTTTCAGCAAGAATTTCCTCCTTAAGGAAAGAAGGGGCGGGGCAGACGGAGTTGTACCGTATCCTGTATTGCTCCATGGCTCCACCAAACCAAGTGTATTTGGACTAGTAGCTACGCCGTAATCCACGCTGCGTGTCATGGGGTGTGCGGTAGCTCCTCAAAAAGATAAAGTCGCCATAAGTTCGTTTTGTAAGACCCCATTGTCGTGCATTATCGAGCCGAAACAATGGCACATCTGTGATACTCGTGGGCTACACTATCCCGCCCACTGCACAGGTTTTCCGACACGACTTCTGCTGAGATTGTTGCTTTGTTAAGGCAAAGGTCGGCGCTTAGTGCAGGGTATTATGGCGAGTGAAACTGCGTGCGGAGTTGCGACAATGGAACGACAGTGAAGAAAAAACGAAAGAAACCGTCGACAAGGCCGAAAACGAAAACCCCGTCCCCCTAGCAGTGAAGGAGACAGGCTTGGGAGAGAGGTACGTCCAAACGAGCGTTTCGGACATGCCAGCCGTTCCATCGGTTGATGCGGCAATCAACCTAGCTGAATTTCGCACGTTATGATTGTTTAATTGCGTGAGCTGCTATAACGTTTGATCTGACGTTGTGCCAGTCCGCACACTATATTTCGGAGGTGGGCGAACATAGCGAATGCATGTAGCTAATCACTGTAAGTAGTAGGTCAGGAGCCTTGTCGCCGAGCCATCTCGATTGGGAAGCCCTGCGCACACTTTTGAGTGCAGCCCAGTCCATATTAGTGATGGAAACACTTCCTAATGAGTGCCTTATCCTGACTCGTGCTTTTAAGTCACTCATATTCTTTTGTTTCGAAATTGCCCCAAATTATATGCTAAATTTGATCCGTCATTAAAGGCACGCTCTAGGATTAGTACGCGCGTTACCTGCTACCATGCTGGGGACAGTAGACAGGCGGACTAAGAGTTCAAGTCAAGTTTTTTTTCAAGTTCAAGCTCGCTGCCTGCTTTCAAGAGATTGATTCACAAATAAGCCAGTGGGGGTTTCCGGAGTTCTTTTTTTCCTCCTTTCTTTGTTTCTGTTTTATTTTAAATGTAACGCTAGCTTTTTACCTTCGCTCTTATTCAATTCGTTTGCAATTTTATCAAGTGTTGTGTTGTTCTATCGGGCTTTGTTGAATGTTCTCGCGCGGACTCCGTTCGCGTCTCCAAATAAAATAAATAAATAAAACCCTGTCGCGTTTTGCAGCTTTGCAAATGTGCGCGGCAAGGGCGTAATAAGGTCCTCCCAATCCCCCAACTCACACCTTCGGCCCCGCGCCTTCTCAATCAACCATGTGACGCTGCTTGAAAAACGCAGGCGCACTTGAGGCAGCGGTTGCATTGCGGCGCAATGTCACTGGCACTGGAGCAATTGGAGCTAGGTTCGTGAGACTCGTCCAACACGCCACTCCTCTGTCCCAAGTATTAGGTTGTCCCATAATTAGTGAATCACTTTACATTCATTGCTATAAAAAATTCAAGAAAAATGGTAAAGGCGTCGAAGATGTTTTGCGAAGTAGCACCCACATTATCTACCTAAGCATTTGGTAAGCCCATTTACACGCTGCCTTACAAGGCTATAACATCAATTTTTCTAAACCTATTTTTGAGCTTCCTCACTCATCACTTCTGATTAGCATCTTTCAAACGCCAACCAACGTAGTGGATCAACCAGCAAATAGGCGAGAACACACTCCTCAATCCACGGTTCACTCTGTTTCCGGATTTGGCTTTTCCATTTGAAGATGACCGATACTCTAACTACCCCTCTACTGGCAATCTTGCTGCTCTACCCAGCGCAGCTGAGATTGGATCTGGACAAAGTAGTCGCTATGTGTCAGAGCATATCCGACTTGTTCAGATGATGGAATGTAGGGATTTCTGTAGAGTCGTAAAGAATTTAAAATATGGAATTTGTATCTCACATGCTCTGTGCCCGAATCACCCTCGAACACGATCTGATATCATCATGTTTCTTTTGATTTCCTAGGGTTCCTTTCAGTGACCGTCCTGCATATTCACCAGTTCTGTAGACTGGGTGGAGTGTGCTAGAAATCCACCAGGAGCAGTAGCCTAGCTCAAGCGATTCGGGAGTTCTGACAGCAAAAGCCCAACTTCCTCTAAGTTCGACACTTCTGAAATGTTAGTGAAACAAAAAAGGAACCTTGCGCTGAGAACCGCCGCCCAGTAATACTAGAGTCAGTGAAGAAGGCAAATGTGGACAGCACAGGGACAACGTGTTTAATTTGAAAGCAAAGCAGCACAAAGTCGGCTTTTTTTCTGAGGTCGTTCGACCCACCTTGGGTAGATTATTTATAAAAAGTTGGCGACTCTCAGGCTAACAGTTCTTTCAGCTTCATTGTGTAGCACTATCCTCGTACCAGCTAAGGACAACCTTGTCTGAGCTCTAGCACTCCTCTTCAAAAAGAAATTTTACGCAAAAGTGATACGACCTCAAACCCGACTTCCATTCCTTCTTCGTTCAAGATCTCCTGAAGTTTCAGAGGAAAGACAGCGAATAAATTCCCTATGAATAGGCAATACATTATAGATGACAGAGGTGTATGTTTGGATGAGCAAGGACTTTGAATCAAAAAAGAAAAAAATTTGAACTCAAAAATATCCCAAAGTGATTCACTAATTATGGGACAACCTAATAGAATGCGGCTGAAAGAGAAGGGGTTCCTATTTAAGGGCGTAATCGGAGTTCCCTTTGGCTTTCCTTTCCCTCCTCCATAACGCTCCCACCCTCTAGAATCCATACTAAAACGCTTAATCCCACACCCATATTTCCCCGAAGGCTGCTCTGAATCATCTTTTTTCTCTAACTAGCACTGTTTCTTATACCATCCATCACTGAGGCAATCAGGGCTGAAATCATGTGGCAGGTCCTCCAATCCCTAGCGTTCAGCTGGGGCATAAGATGCAAATACCGACATAGCGGTGCAGCCGTCTAGATACTCCTAAGGTACTAAATCGTACAGTATTCAGCGGAACCTACTTTTGTCACCGACGTAGAGGCGATTGAATCGATCATCTATGTCTTCTTTCTGTAATGATGAATATTTACATGATATGAGACAGACTCGTCTATTGACCAGCAAGTATCAGCGTATCGTAAGGACAAAGCCTGGATCAAACGGCTAGGTTACTGCGCTTGTAAGTGAAAGTTGAGATGTGAAGTGTAACACCAGTTATTAAAAGAAACGCGAAGAAAGCGTGGACAAGGTTGAAAACAAAGCCCCTCTCCAGTAGCGGCGCGCGAAACATGCAATGGTTGGAGCGGTGTTTAAGGGATATGGAGGGCTTTAGCAGCGTTTGTAATCTTTGGGCCCTGGCTTCTACTAGTCTTGTAAAGTCCGTGGTATAGTCTTGTAAAGTCGTGGCGCCGGGTACAGTATGTGCATGCTCTGCGCTTACGCTCCACTTCCAGCTTTCTCGCACAATGGCTTCATTTCCTCCACAAATCCCGGATTATGTTGTCCGAAAAGTTCGCCTTTTGCACTGACTGTTTCATGCGCTTTTTTATATTTGCTCACTAAAGGAATTGCTTAAAGGAGGAATTCACGATAAGAATGAAGGTCGAAGAAGGGTAATTCACCTAGTTGAGAGACCGGCGGACCTCCTGAGGGTGCGACTGACGCGCAATTGGCAGCGAAATTTGACCTCGGCGACCTAGCATGGCTCACTCTTGGCGCGGTTGGCGGGGTCCGCCCACCGACTATCTAATCACTCGCCGCAGGTCTACGTGGCGAGTGATTAGATAGCAGAGAGAGCGTAGTGTTGAAGAGGGCACAGCGATGAGAGTCGCATCAATGCGCAAATCAACGGGCAAGGAAGGGGTCCCATTTCTCGGGTTCTTTGAGCGCAGCGTCCCTAGACGCGTGCATCGGACTAGTACACCTCATTAAAAATGGCCGGACTGACCAAATGACCATTGCTTGTTAGTATTTTCGCAGGAAAATTCAGACACCTAGGACTTTCAAATTTTCTGTTGTGTTGTACGTACCTCATCGGAATAAAGACCAACACGTATCCCTTGACGACGAGCGATTTCTGGTTCACATCTCCCCAATATCTCCATTACAAGCTAAATAGTTGAATATTTGAAGACATGGTCGTTGCTACCACGGTAGAAAACCTTCACAGCGCCCGTGTTTGTGGGCAAATGTGAAGAAAGGAATGTCTGCCCACGGTGACCGCTTCCAATACAACGTGCTGGTCCTCACCGAAGATTTTGAAACCCTGCAGATTCTGACCTTTCTACAACTTTTTACTCGTCACCTCATTGGTTCCTCTTAGTATTTTTATCTGAAGCTCTCTCTCGCTCTTTTTGTAACTTGGCCTCAGACACAGTTTATCGTTATAGCTTTGTATCCCTGATTTATAGTACAAAATGACGACCACCACTTTGAAATATGGTGCGAGCTCATCAGGGCAGCGATTTATCAGCTACTCATCAAACGGAGAAAAGCTACTGCAGAGAGAATCTCAAATAATAATCCCAAATAATCCCCGTCTACCCTCTACGAAGCTTTGCTCCACTGTGGTTGGATTTGAGGAGTTTGTAGTTTGAACTAAACAACAACGGAAGCTCTAGCGCACTCCCATCGGTACTCCAGTACTGATAACCCTTTCCAGGGCTAAACATATGTATTGCACTGGACATATAGAAGAAAAAAAACAAGGTTTTCTTTATGCTGACCATGACAATCTACCAACGTTTTGATACGTTAAATTATCAATTTTTGAAAAGCAGAAAAGCTTTTCCTGCAAAATACTTCAACGGCATGGTTTCCGAAAGTGCTAGATCTGGAAATGCTAGCCAAACTACCTGTCTTTTGTCGTACTGAGTAGAGCTGATGGTTAATGGGATACGATGAGTCTCGTTCGAATGGAACTCTGCTCGATTCCGTTGGATGTCGTTGGAAATCTGCCAAGGACCAACAAGTGTAGAGAACTGTAAAGAGAAGGCTAAAACTCCGCTGGTTAATGTCTGTTCTAATAAATGAATGTCTACCCTATCAACTACTCCGTCCCTTAGATTGAATTCATTCATGGCATATTCGGCCATGAGACACATTCCATCCACATTACCAAATGTTTGCACGGCGGCTATGAGAAAACGTAGTTCCTAGAAATGTTTTTGAAGACAGAGGTATGCTGTTGATCTGAGCAATACGTGTGCCAAAGCATGCCAACACTCCGTTCTGTAAGATTCATATGAAGCGAAAAACGTTAGTTGTCATGAAAAGCATTCTGCGTTACAATAAGTCTTCACTAACCCTTTAACTACTGTTGCAGGACATACAGGAGGTGTGGGAGCCAATGACAAACAATTTTCCTCCACATTCAAATGAAATTTATCAAACTATGCTGAAGGCAAGTCGGATAATTCGACTGAATATTGACAACTGAGCACACTCCAATCTACTCCATTCGAAAAATTAGCCTTCTAAAAAAATAGCCTTCTAATCCGACGACATCAAACCATCAACAACATTCGATTTTCATACGGAATTACGATGTCTATACGATGCCACAGTCTCGACGGATCATGGACCATTAAGGCGTTCTCTGAAAGGCTGGTTCAAGGGCTCCCACAATCACAGCTAATGTCTCTAGGGAACTGTCGTGACCAGCGCCACGACCTCGAGTAAAGGTGCTCCAAGGCAGCTGGTTAGAGGCAGGGCAAAATACCGGTTCAAACTCGCGCCATCGGCACAGGACCTTGGTTGCCTGCGCCTTCAAACTGCGCGCGAACCGTAGCCACGTCATTCATTCCGCCATTGCATCATCGTGAGCGGTCGCCCTCTATTCGCCTCTCCGGTTATCGGCTATTCATCGCTGTTATTCTTATTCCATCGCGATGACACCAGCTCGCCATATAATAGTTAGTTTAACTTTAGCTTATATATTCCTACCTAAATATTAGCTTCAGTCACCTCGCCGGGATAACCTCTAGTAGTTACCTTACTTCCTTCCACTTAGAACTTAGTTAGTCTCGGGAGTTAGCACCTTAGGTTCCTTCTTTGTATTTGGTTAGTATTCTCTTAATAATAGTCAATCGTAGTCTCCATCAACCGTAGTATTCTTCTCTTCTATTCTTGCAATAGGATTTACAAGATACAGATGCTTTTCGTGAACTATTTCTAGTATGTATTTATCTATACTATTTGTGTAATGTTTATTCAGGCGATATGAAGAAGCGTAATATATAAGCCTATAACAGTTAACTCTAACACAGTATACGCCGCGCACACGCCGCCATCAAATCCTCGCCTAGTCGATCCATCGTGTCATCTCGGATCCTCTTCTTGTTCACTTGGCAGATCGACATCCTTCGCACTACTAGGCAATCAGCACGCGCCAGCACGCTTATGCCCTTTGGGCACAGGGAAGCAAGGCCTCTTGTCAACCCGCTGCAGGCATCAAGGACTTCGGTCAACAAGCATTCTTCGTTGCACGCATCTTCCCTTCAGAGGTGTTGTGGGCACCCACCGGAATCCCACGTTTTTGCCGTGTCTCGTCGGATTCGCCGATGCGTCTTACTCCACTGATCCGCCTGGCACTGACAGGAACTATCCACAGTGAGTCATATATAGAAATTTAGCAGTCTTCAGTCCTGGGAGTAATAAGATGGTTGCTTCTTGGCTCGAGCGTGGCAATGATGTTCATCTTCTGAGAACGGTGAGAGCAGTGGAGGGAGGGCATACTGACCCTGCCTATACATAGAGGAGTCATTCAGTAATATTTTGCCGCAAAATTCCTTCAACTGCGGCTATTTCTATGACGAAAAAATCGCCGGTAACATAAAAAACGTTTTTTGCTATACGAAGTTATTACGCCTATACGTAGAGCTTGAGTGGCTTCGAGAACAAGCTTTAGCTACTCATTTGTAGATCATATAGATCTAAGCGCTGTTTTTAAAGAGTATGTAGGGTTGTGGCTGAGAAATCCTGGACCTTACTGTATTTATTTTTCTGTGCATCCGCGTTTGGGTGAATATTCACGGACCATTGTGGCGATCAGATTCAATTTTTCAGTCTAACCAGCTGATCGGGCACTCAATGCTGACATTTTGTCATCTATTGGACACTGACTGATGTTTGAAAGCAATAAGATGTTTGCTAGCTTTCTTACCGTCATCTGTTGTGTTGATGGGTTGAGCGACACTCAAGAACTCGTCTTCCTCCACTTCATCGTCTGCCACAAATGGCAATCGACGGAAATCTTCGGACCGTTGTTCAGCTCTACGGCGCCTTCGTGAACTGAAACTGGGCTGTAAACCAAGGGATAAACTCTGAACAAACGATGACCACAGTGACGAAAAGTTCCTAATACTATTCTTCTACCCTAATAGAATTCTACGTTAATATCTCAACGTTTTTACTTTGTTTCCGTAAGAAAATGAAAGAGAAGTACTTCATCAACTCGAAACTAAAGATCCCGTATTCAAGAAAAACTTAATACTCTCAAAATGTTATTCATGCCATCCTTTCAGATATACAGGGTGGGCAAAAATTACGGTAACAAAATAACTGGATCATAAAAAAGAAACGTGGCCGAGCAGTCCCAAATTAACACCAGCATATGGTGGAAGGTTACAAAACAGAAAACAATATTGGTCCTTGATGTGGACGTTTTCTGCGCCGATAAATAAATGAAGACTTCCTAGAAAGTCAACCCTGTGGCGTAAATAGGTGTTGTCGAGTAAGGTCCAAGGCTTTCAAGAGCGACTGCTCAACTAGTCGATGTTCCTATTATGCTTGTAGCAATGCTTTGCCTTCGACACACTCAATACAGAGCACTCCACAAGACTTGAGTTGGGAGAGCTATGTTGTCACTTCTCTAATATGATGAATTCCACGACATTCTGTTGCCATCGATTTTGGGTCAATCTGTGCATTGTGGGTGGGCGCCCAATCTTGGTCTGATGTCCTACGTCTCCCATTTAGGGTCCTTCGTTTTGAAGCATCAACAGAGGAAGTTTGAGACGATTTTCACTATAGTTTTATATCTTGAGCAGCAGAGGTCTGAGGTTCTTCGAATCATGATTCCTGCTCTTATGATTTCCGCGAAAACCATCACTGAAGATGGTTGGCTTTTCACCAGCGTTAGTCCAGCTGCTTTTTTTTATTTGAGAGAGGAGTATATCTTTCCATCATGGGAAAGAATCCGTAAAGGAAGCTATGACGGGAACGAGGCAATCTCTTTTAGCATCTTCGCTTTTTATTCACTTTTCACACATCGGTTAGATGCTAGACATTTTTATGCTGGTAAAACTTTCTGTCAAGGTATGTGCAAATATGGTGTTGCAAGAAAGTGCGGCAGCTTCAGCAACGGAACGGTGAAGCGAGCTAGCCTTCAGCGTTTCTTCGCATTTTCGAGATATTGCTCGTGGAGTTGCAGAAGTAATCTGTGACGTCCGGGCCTACTGGTGTTGGTAGATAGCATGTTTCCTATGTAATGATACGAAATTGCTACAGAGCTTCTGAATAACATTGCAACGTAACACAATCAAACAGCTCGTCGGAACAAAGTAGTGACTACTTCTTGAGGAGCTAAAAGATTGTTCATTCCGGAGTCGATATATTTCATGTGAGAAAATATCCTGTTAGTGATACCAAACTTTTTTCGGCGGCTAGAAAATTTTCTGAAAATGGCGAGCCACGGGAAATGAATGCTTTATTACTAGGGCTGTAGAAATCTTTCACTAATCACATCAGTCAAATGCATTGAAGTGCATGTTGCATAATACGAGGCTCGACTGTGCTCACTTTCACTGAAGTCTACTGTGATATGCGCGCGGTAACGAGCGGAGCCAAGCTGGTGTATGGTGAATGTTCTAATAGAAACGGTGATGGCTGTAGGTACTTTTACTCCATTATCACTAGCATCAGCTACTATTCGACCGCTAATTTGCACTGGCATTCGATGCATGGTGCATGGTGATTGTTTGCAGGCACCACTTTAGCACCGCAAACGGTGAGCCGCTGCAAAGATAGGCAGCCTTTTGAGCGGTCAGCTAACGCAATTTACGAAGCAACACTTTGTTTAGCGGTGGATCCCAATGCTCCTCCGGCTGTCCAGTTTCAACGCTTTTAGGCCTTCCATGTCATGCTGGCTTTTGAAGAATCATCTCTGGCCGGCGACAAAAAGTGACTGCTGATTTGGTGATAAAGCGATGTGCCATGAGCGACTAAGAAGGCACTGATCTGTTATCTAGATGCGCTGTAAGAAATCGTTTCGCTTTGCTTGCTAAGTGGGGAGAGGTTGATGAAACGTATCAACACGTGATAAAGAAGCGATAAGGAGCACAAGAACGCCAATGTCGCGGAATTCATAGCTCGCGGACCAGTAACATTAAGGTGCCGTCCCTTGGATATGATGCAAGGGGTAGGACGGAAACACTTTTGGTGAGTGACAAAACGTGGTAACAACTGACAACTGGCAATTAGTATGAAAGTGGAGGGATTGGTAACGTCGTTATCTAGATGCGCGATAAGGAAAATATCCTTTCTGTTTGCGATGTCATCGTCAGTTCGAGATCCATTCGACCACTAATTTGCTCGAGCTTCCTAAGATGGTCATTGTTTATGGAAATACATAAAACTTGATGTTTCTACTTCAATATCGTTGACACAAAAAGTTGTTCGACCGCTAAACTCCCTCAAAATCTAAGGCATGATAGCTGTTTACGTTTAGTGCTGACAGTAAGAGCGTCTAAGTAGCCAAATAGTGTCTAACAGTTATATCAGCCGCCAGACTATGTTGCTTCCGACGAAAAGGCAGACGTTCATGAATATTGAGAGCTACGAGAAATGTCTGCTTTATCACCACCACAGTTTGTAGCCTTTCGCTAACAACCTCAGTTGCATTGAAAGCATGCATACTACCTAATAAAAGTGCTATCATGATCCTTTGCTATACGGCTCATTGGCGAATCAGCAGCCCAAGACGTCGCATTTATGCTGTATGCAGAGGACCCAAGGTATCCGAATGTACTCGAGATTGGTCCAGAAATCCACGAGGGAGACTCAAACATTGAAAGTTTCGCCTGATTGGGACGTTGTCTCGAAATCGACAATGACTGTTTGCACAAGCTGGTGTAAGCAGACCCATTGCAGTCTGCGCGTGAAATCGCATGAGTCTCAGATGTTCCTTTCAGCACCATCAGCGATCGGCCATGTCGTTTGGGAAAAAAGCACAACATGGCATAGTACGTAGCACGAGTTGACCGCTCGCTATCGCCAGTAACGTGCCGAGATGGCTAAGGAATGACTCTCCTACAAGTGCGTGGATGGCTTGCTGAAGTACATCGTCACAGAGGATGAGAAGTGGTGTTGGAGGTCAACATCGAGTCAGTTGACAAGGGTGACCAGTATGAGCCCCAACAGAAGGCAGGTGATCATTCTCTGGAGACTATGACCTCTTTTCACCTGAGTCTGTTAAAGGATTATCCATTACAAGCCACTGCTGTGCTATTTTGGCGGTAGTCTCACAATGCACCTCAGTACTGATTAAGACAGTCATGTGGTTTATATATCAGCCGTGGGGCCCAGTTTTACTGAAGCATGCCAAGGAATAAGCTGAGGAGGAAAACTGATTGGTATATACATTGCCTCAGCGACATATTGCCTTTTATCGGGCAACTTGTGAATGCCTCATACAACTCTGAGCTTCTGAGGCGAAAAACTGAAAGACGTCTGCGTGAGTTGGTCTGTGATTTCTCTCCTTAAAGGAATCTTGCGCGGAAAATTCTTGCACTCTTTCCTAACATGAATATGTCAGTTGTGATCACTGGAAATAGCACACAAAGTTTCACGCATGAAGATTCGGTTTCTGAAGAGAAACAAACGTACAAAAACTACACGTTATGGACCATCGAAGGACCAGGAGGCAGAGCCAGGCGAGGCATGGAAAGAAGACGGCGTTTGGCCGGCTACGTACCAGGCGACGCAATGAGAGAATCGGGTTAAAGCGCGCGATTTCGGAGAGTGGAGACAAATCGATCGATGGAATAGGATGGAGTAGAAGTGTAAGATGTGAATGCAACGAAGCAGAAGGCCAGAAAGAGCTTCTAGTGAATGCACTCCAAGAACCAAGTTTGAGCATCCCCGTCGCCAGCATTCGTGAAAGACGTCCGTGGGCAATTCGAACGCGTAGCAGCCTTTTCGAGTTTTCGAATTTCTAATCAAAACGAAAGCAATACTTCAGTTCTTTTCACTATTATCGTGGATAATGAGTCTCAAGCCAGTGATTTATGGCTGAAATAGAATCATGATTTTTCCGCGCAAGATTCCTTTAACATGATTTAATATCTAAAGTACTCGCACTAAGAATCAAAAATTCACACGAATCCCGCGATTTCGCGTCATCTTCTGGAAATAGCAGTAACTCGGACCAAAGTGAGTATTCTGACGCGCAGAAATCACTTGAACTCAGCTTGTCAAGCCTACAAGAAAGTGTTATAATATTTTAGAAAAGTTCCATTTCGTAGTGCGCCAAGCACTTGAGAGGATCCTGAGAAGTAAATGTTGATTGCAATGCCTACATTGTACTACTTAGGCAACCTGATCTAAACTAAACGGATGTCTCTGCGCTAAACATCCTATTTCTCTCGGTTAATATGAGCGTCTTATACCGGTTTTCAGGAGCAATAGTAGGCCTATTTCGTGGTGTTCTAATTTTCGAAGATTTGTTTTTGTACAAGCCTGAGGAGGCAGCAACGAAATCTCTTCACTGTCGTAGACTACAGTTACTTGTTTATGAGAATTAGGTGACGTTTTTCAGGTGACTCTTTGTTTAGTCGTGTGGCCTCAAACATCACTCCGAGTCATGTCCTTGTGAAAAAAACCAGATTTTTTGCCTTTTTAGATAATCTTACAAATCTGCTTTTTCAGTGGGTTGCCGATTCTCCATAAAAAATACTATTGATCGAGAACAGCGCCGTTTGCACTTGAAACTGCTTTTCACCGTTTTTCGCCAAGTCTTCGTGGCAGCTGATCGACTTCCCTAGCCCTTGACGGCCACGTGTGATCCACGTGCACCTCTCTCACTGAAGCGATTCCAATCGACTTATGACGAGAAAAATGATCGCGGCCTAATTGTGCCCTCGACTTTGAACATTGTGTAAGTCTCATTTATTTATAATACAAAATCTTGAGCCGTATGCTATTCGATAGGATAAAGCCCGCGTTTGTTTCCTAGATCGTATGCTATTCCTCCTCGAAGCTTATCCAGGAGAGGCCACGCCCACCGATCTTC